ACACTGTATTCGGGAAAAAAACCACTGAATTGTATTTTTTATAGCACGAATTTTTAAAAACTTAAATAAAATGTTAAACATTGGAATGCACCATTTTTACTTTTTTATGTCTTTGAACATTACAATAATCACTGACAGCAAGAGTTGTTGTTTTTTTTTTATTTTGTTTGTTTGTTTGTTTGTTTGTTTGTTTTTTTTGTCGTTGTTTTTTTTTTTTAACCTGATACATGTTATATAATAATACATATTGCACTACAGGTTCGTTGCCATGATTTAATAAATAAAGTACAGTATTTCACTTTGAAAATGTGATTACAGAAACACATAAATTAAAAAAACCGTATTCCTTTTGATTGGTTTTGGAGAAAATTGTACTATAATATATACAGTTCACTTTGGAATGAATTATATGCAGTCGACATACCATTAGCGGTACGATCATAATTTATCTGTATTCGATCTCGAGCTCTTATCCCTATGCATACAATGTAAAATACGTACCCCCATTGTTAGTGGAAACACTTCCGCTTCCGTGTTGTGGAGCGGCTGTGGTGTGTGTTTGTGTAGCATGCGGAGTGACACAACACTTCTGTAGAAAACCACAGTAATTGTAGCTATATCTGTCTCCCACGTGACAATCGTCAAATAAATTTACACAGCGGCCATGGTAATGCGTTGAACATGCTTTGGTGAAAAAAAAAGAAAATTAATGTAGTCCATGCCCTGCGAATATAAGTTGGGAATATCAAATTCAACTTATTAAATTTAATATACCTCAGTGTGATTTACTCCTACCCGTGCACGTGGTCGGCAATATTGTCGCGATTTTTGCCAACTTTTGATCAATGGCCTCTTTAATTTGCCTTGTTTGCTTTCAATAATCAATATAAAGTCTCAATTTTTTGAATGACTAATTTTATTATTTCCTATGAATTAAAATTTTAGGTTGATACTCAGTGATTTGAACTATATATCAAACATGTTAAATTTATGATCCCATACTAAATTTGACAATTCTTGAGTCGATCGGAAACATTCATCTTTCCATTAAAAAATCAGTTGACATTCAAAAAAAACTTTGTCAAAATATTGTCGGTATGATTTAAGCATTGATAAAAGAGGAGAAATCCTATGCTGAGTAAGAAAGAGGGGGAATTTGGCTCTATTGTTAGATTTCCCCTCGGGAGAAAGTCCTACTCTAGAGTACAGATTCCGGGGGAAAGCTAGCTCGGGGGGGGGGACCCTAGTCTACGTAAGCAAACATGGCAATCTCAGTTATTTATGTCTCTACTATAACGATTTTCGTTACCAAATTTTACTTGTATCTTTATATCAATTATTCATTTGTCTATTAATGATATCATACTTTAAAGTTGTTTTTGTTACCGTAAATAATCTATATAAACTTGATCATTGAGTTTAATTGAACAGGATCTCTGTAGGTCAATAACATAAAACAACATGTCAACATAATTATTTTGCATGCATACTTAATTATCTTGCATATTGACAATTATCTTGCATATTGACATACTTTTCTCGCATGTTAATATAATTTATCTTGAATGTAGGGGGCAGAAATATGCCCCCATAGTATAAAAAATATATTTTGCTGAGTGCTAACAAAACTAATGCTTGTGAGCAAATGAGCAAAACAGTCCTGAGCACAATTTTTCGACAAATGAAGTGTACAAAGAGTAAAATACTTAGTAAATGGCTTAAAATGGCTACATGTATACGCGTACTGTAGTCCTGGAAAAAAATTGTTTAAGCAGAACATGCTGCGTTTGTCATTGTCAAAAATGAATAGTCGAAACTAGTAGTATATCAAGTATTTCAAACATTTCTAAAAATCTTATTTTATTTATTGACATGAATTCGGGAAAGATATTAATGTCTTAGCTGAAACTTACTAATTTCAGTGTTTTTCAGGGCTGTCAAAAGATGGACGATTTTTTTTTTTCTGAATTCAAGGAAAGATCTTTGCATTCGAAAATACATGTAGCCTTACTTGAAGCTGCTGTGTATTGAATTCCTACAAAGAGGAGACAGACGTTAAGGAACCACATAGCGATCCGCACTTTAAGAAATGGAATGGAGTACGGAACTTACATGGGAATATAACAGCCTTGTATCTTTAAGATAATGGGGATTAAAAGTTCATGATACTGGTATTCAGATATAACGCCATTTATATAGGAAGTAGGAGTACATTACAAAATCCTTACTTACCTCGATGTTTGTTTATTTTTGAAATATTTAATCACGAGATCATTGTCCATAAGGTGTAGTCATTATGTCACTTGTTTTCTTGATTTGAAATATGTCACCTTTTGGTTCGGTTACAAATGAGCGGGTTCATTTGGTTCAAAATGAATTACTTTTAGGCAATACACATGTCCTATTTATACAAACATGTCCTATTTATACAAACATTTGCCCATTTTAAATTGTAGTCATTTTTAAAAGAATGTTTGGGGAATGGAGCACTGCATGTCCCTTCAAAATCCAACCTCTGGCTGCATGCTCGAGTTCTCCATTCGTTGAGTACTATGAAGCGGCTACACATCCAAGAGCTCTTCAATCTTGCTGCTGCAGCTTAATTAAGACAGATGATTAAAAAAAAGAAAAGATACCTGGATTGATATATATTTTTTGACTTATGTTGGTTGTAAATGATCATGATTAGAATAATAAATTTCTAAAATATTAATAAATTGTAAGCTTTCTACGATGTTTAAAATTCCATCTTTCTGCAACCATCCTCATTAATCTATACAACTTTTTGTCATTTAAAATCCATTTTTTGTGAAACTTTAAATGAAAAATAAAAATCTATGTGATTTTTACTTCTTACTTATATAAACATGGTATTAGTTGTTAATTATTAGTCCCCTACCGGTGAAACCGGAGGGGACTATAGGTTTCCTCTGAGTCTGTCCTTCCATCTGTCTAGCTGTCTGTCTGTCCCTCTGTCAGTCTGTCCCACTTGGTTTTCTGCTCTTTTTTCCTAAATGCTTGCAGATATTGAGCTGAATTTTTGGTATGTGAGTGTATCTTGATAAGTTACAGATCAAGGTTGGATTTCGTTCCGTTTCATTGATTTTTTTTTGACGGAATTACGATCTTTTCAATTTTTTAAGGGTTTTCTGCAATTTTTTTCCTAAACGCTTGCAGATATTGAGCTGATTTTTGGTATGTGACTTAACCTTGATTAATTATAGATAAAGTTTGAATTTCGTTCCATTTCATTGACTTTTGACGAAATTATGGCATTTTCAATTTTTAACGGGAACCAGATTATACTTGCCGGTAGGGGACTAGTATTGCTAATGCGATACTCTCAGAATGCTTGTTTTAAGGAAAAAGGTGCGGAAGCTTCAAATGCCCGCACCAGTGCCTTGCCTTAATTTGTTAATTTCTACTTTGTAATAATTATTTTTGGTGCCCAAATATTTGTGGACTGGATCGGAAGTGTCAGTCTGGGTGACTCAGTGTCCTTATAATGCAGGGTACCAGGTTCCATTCCCTGTTCAACCAAAAATACTAGTCATTTGGGTTGAAATGTTCATAAATTGGAAACGGTGATGCATGATCATCATAATGAGGACACAAGGCATAAAATTACGTCACTTTTATTTATTTATATATTTGAATTATAAGCAATTTATAATACATTGTACATGTAATACACCTAATAAAGTACGTAATTGTATAAACTCTCATTTGCGCCCAACTGAATCCATTTTTTAGATATGGTTTCACTTAAAAACATAAATTTCAAACAACAAAAACAAACCATTTCCAAAAAAAAAAAAAAAAAATAAGCAACACTCATTAAAAAAATTGAAAAGCAATACTCAGTGTTCAAAATCATTAGAATGCAAAATCATTGTTTTTCATTGGATTGGGGTGGGGGGTGATGGTCAATTTCATATAATTCCTTTGTGCCAATTTCCCATGAATTCACAACCTCCTCATGTAATGATTTTGATGGTGTCTTTTATGAGACATTCTCTCATAGTCCCCATAAATCTGCAAATGTTTAAAATCCACAAAAATTGCCTCATGAATTCAAATGTTTCAATGATTCCAAAGCATCCATGAAGATATGCTGTTATAAAATATCACAGGCACTTGGGGACTGGAACCCCCCCTCCCCCCTTTTTTTTCTTTTTATATCTGGGGTCGACACACCTTTTCCCTATTTTTGTACTCTTATTTGCACTACAAAATATCGATATGTGTGTCGACCCAATTTAAAACGAAAAAAAAAAAATGGAAGGGGGGGGGGAGGTCCAGCTCCCAAGTGCCTGTGTAAAGTATATATCTCAATGATAATCAGAGCATTTGCTTTAAATACAGTATACTAGTATATTCATCAATGCATGTTTCATTTCACAAACGTACTAGACAATGACATTCACATATAAAATACATTGCAAAATATTTATGTTAAATATAAATTATTCAATATATAATTATGATTATAAAAAAACTTCCATTAAAGACAATTGATTTTTTTTCAATTTGGATTATGTGCATCTCTATCATTCAGTGCAGGTTGTACATGTAATTATATAAAACAAAATACCACATTTTAACCATTTCTGATATTAATTTATATGTTATGAACATTTAATTAACATAATACCTTTATTCATGTTCCAATTTAGTTTTAACATGACAAAATATGATATACATGTACAATATTTGTCCCAATTATTAAAATTACCAAATAACAAGGGCACTGCAAAGCAGAGCATCTCCAGGGGGCAGCCAAAAAAAAAAATTGACAACTTACCTGAAAAAACTTTGACAAGCAACTTTAAAAACCCAATTTTATTAATACATGTACATACCAAATTACCATGATGTACCTATGCTACAACTAAATGTGGGGGCCTTTCAATGAACATTTTCGATAGTTAAAGGTTATTTTTGGAAAAAAGAAGGGAAGTGGGCAGCCCCCCCCCCCCCCATTCTACATGCCTGCTATATCCCCTCAAACTTCATTGTCAAGGGATCATAATATAATACAAAAATTAACTAACACGTACCTACATATATACATATGAAGTTTTGTAAGATTGATAGTACTCAGTATCTGACATTGACTAGATAATATATATCAGTCTGTTTGATGGTATAGATTCATCTCATACTGCATTATTAAGTCTAACGTATGTCATGTAGTAAACTTAGATGTTTTTTTTCATGATGCTATGATGTTGATTGAGGCTTTTTGACAACCTTGGCCTCTAACATTTTCTCTCTCTCTTGCTCCCGTTCCCGCTGGTGAACTTTTTGTAGATCCTCCTTTTGTTTTTGCTGCTGGATCTTCACAGCTCGCCTCTATAATTTTAAATAAAAATTAAAGTCATAATGAATTTCAAGAATGATAACAAAAGGATGATTTTATAGAAAACATGATTTTCATTTAAAAAAAAAATTGAAAACATTTTAGGTTCATAATCCCTCTAATTACTCATATAAAATGTTGCTTTAAGGCTGATAATTTTCCATAAGAAATATTAAAAATATGTTACAATTTTAGCATAGCTTGCAGGACAAAATTGATCAAAAAAGACATTTTTAATTTGACAAATGTAAAGAATCCAAATTATTGACATTTACCAAGTAAGAGTTATCTTTCTTATTTTATCTTTTTCTTATCTTTCTTATCAGAGTATCATTGAGCCTTATGATAGAAATTTACAAACAAAAAAACCTATAAAACATGTACTGTGCTACATGAAAAATGTGCCGAAAAATACAATATCGGTTCAGATTGTAACTTTAAGTCAAAAGTTAACCTGATTTATAGCAACGACTACTAATGCATGTGATATTCTTTTTGTCTAGCTACGTACATGCCTGCTGTATGCCTATCAGTGATTTATTTTTGCTTTGTTTGGCATTCACAAATATACATACAATGAACAGGAGATTTAAACCTATAGATTTCTTTTTTTTTTTTTGATCACTTACCTTAAGCTTTGCAGCTTTCTCAGACAAAGCATTCATTTCTTTCTTGAGGTTGATCAACTTCATGTGATATTTCTTTGCTTGGGCCATCTATGGATAAGAGTGCTAGCAAATCAACTGCATTTAATAAAGTAATCATAGTAACTTTTAGAAGGAAAAGGACCCTTGTAATAAATAACATTGGACTCTATTCAGCCTCTTATAATTTCTAATTTATAAATTGTTAGAACAACTAACTGTTATACTTCAAAGGAAAATTTTCTAACACCCTTGGCAATTCTGATGGCCAAACTATGTGATATACATGTAAAATATTTTAAGTGCATGCTATCCTAGACATTTATAAGTACATCTTGTTAAAGTAAACAAGATTTGGCATTTGTGTATATATGTATAATTATACAATCATGTATAAGCCAAACATCAAGCCAAACAGACAGTTTGGAGTCAAAATTACAATTAATTAATTTACATTTTTTTGAACATCCAAATGACAGTTGATGAATTATAACAGATAACAGTTCAATAAAAGTTTTGTACATTAACCTGGACTTACAAATACAGTTGAACTGTGTACATTTATCTCAATACCCTGGATATGGCAAAGAGAGATGGAAGTCCTAATTTTGGTAGACACATCTTCTTTAGCCTCAATATCTCAAACTCTTTGATATCTCTCTGTTTTTTTCTCAGTCACATCAAGTTTGAGATAAGGAGGTTTGACTGGACAGCCATAAGTATAATATGGTTTTTAGCAACTAGCTGGTTCACAGGATTTTCACACACTCTACTTAACAAAATAATTCTTTAAGGATTCAGAGTTTCCAAGAATATGATGATGATCTGCTTACTGTTTTACTGATTTCCTCCATGTCTTGACAATCTGTAAACTTAGCATTCTCCTGCTGTACGGACTCTATCAGGAACTGCTGATTATGCCTAAGGATAGAAAACATTAAAAATTATCAGACAATTGGTAGGAAATCTGTGAGTTTCTTCTACTGTAGAATACTTTTTTCCAGCTTTTTTAATCTGCTAATTTTAATGAGATAACTTTTGAAACCACTGTGAAGATTTTCACAATTTAATATTTGAAATACTACAGAGGAAAGGGGGGGGGGGGTGGTTACAGTTATTTTATCCACACAACTAGTCAGTCTACTTAATGTGCATTTTTAAAATTACTTGCCCATGCAGACTACTCATTTACTAGACTGGGTCAGTCGGACATGCCCTAGTGTCGAACCCTCTGCATGAAGTAAGAAGTTATCAGAAAATGTGTAATATGTCTGATCTTCAGAATTCCTTTTTTTTCAATTAAAACAGAGAGAAATAATACAAGCCCAGACCATGAGAAAAAATATATATAAATCTTCTAATTCTACATCTAATTCTATGAACCTTACATAAGGTCATCTAGTGAGCTCTTGGATTTCTGTAAAGGTGGCAGACAAATTTCCAGTAATCCTAATGACAACTTCTCCACCACTGATGGATCCACACTTGTCATTCCATCCTCCTCTGGATCCGCTCCTGAGTTTTCATTTACTTCTGGATCCACCTGTTTCTCCTCGTTTTCAGTTTTGGACTCTGTTGCTTGATTTTCACTTTCTTTAGGATCAAGACTCTCTTGTTTTATATTTTCTATGAGCAAAGAAGTTGTATATTGTTCAAGCTTCTGCAATATTGTGATAACAATTAATGCACATCTAAAAAATGATTTTAAAAATCTGTGACTATATAAAAATACATGCATTCTTGACAATGTTGTCATCATCGATCAAGAATATTGAGATGACTTTTTCATAGATACAGTCAAACCTCTTTATCTCAAACTCGATGGGACTGAGAAAAAACATTGAGATATCCAAGGATTCGAGATATTGAGGGTAAAATACTTAAAGAATAAGTATTTGATTTAATTGACAATCCATGGTATTTGAGATATCAGTGTTTGAGATATCGAAGTTCAACTGTGTATCATTAATGACCTTTAGGTAAATTATCAACCTGAGTCATTGTCAAAATTTCCATCTGAATGTGAATGCATCTCTTTTTAGAAGCTCATAGTATATTTCACTAACAGGATTGAATTATAAAATTGAACTCAACAGCTCAACAATTGAGCATACAACAAACTCCATTTGACTGTACATATGTAGGAATTGTTACCTGTTTCCCCCGTCTCTGTAGAATCAGATCCATTTCTCGCCGGTGCCTCTGACATCTTCGGTCAAAGTCAGTGGTAACTTATCTTTTTCTCTGGCAAATATAAAAATCCCGTTTTCTGATCATTTGTGATGTTTTGCAAAAAATGACATCAACCCAAAAAGTAAGACGCTTGAGATATCCATACTATGATTGCATTTATACCTGTGTTTATTATTTTTCCTCTACATCTTAAGTGACATCAACGAAAAGAGGTTACTGTAAAAAAAAAATTTGCACCCAAACATAAATATACACCCCTTATAAGGAACATCTCTAGACTCATCATAACAGACTAAGATAACACTAGAGGAAAATCGATTACATTATCATGATTCTCGAGCCCGAGCCCGGTTAGAAAAAACTCGGGCTTGAGGTTCGGTGAAATAAAGAAAAAAATGGAGACCTCGCTTATTTCGACAGAGCTTTGGAGAAATGGCCCACAACCTGGTTCATACTATAATTTCCCTGGCCATTTAGACACAAAACCAGCCTCACAGGTTGGGGCATCTAAAAGAACATTGTAAGTACTCTATCATTTTGTAGATGTATTTTTTTAACGTTATAAGACCAATTCTATATTTTGCTGATTCATTTGCGGTTCGCCGATTTTTTAAATGGTAAACTGCAGTTGTATATAAAGCCGTTCAATATGTTTTTATTCTCATATGAGAGACTTAAATGGTGATGTTTTTCTAAAATTGTTTTTGTATACATGTGCAAAATTATGTTAGGACAAAGCAAGTTAGATAGAGGAATTTCGGAATGTTTATGTATCACTGTACACAGTGTAAATGCTTCAGTTCTTGAATTAACACATAAGCCTCAAAAGACAGTGGAATTAATACAGTAGTCAAACTCTTCAGCAAGTACATGTTATATTGTAGATTACCATCTCACCTTTATACTTGAATTTTTGTGTACTTTTATTAATTTGTTGTCATTTATAATGCCATTTCAGAAGCATCATTGTATTTGAAAGTCTGTGGGACTGTGATTGAAACCCATATAGTACACTTTATATAGTACTCATTATCTGTTACATATACTTACTTTAATAAAAAAAAAAAGTTTTGTTAGCATGGTTAGAGTCCTCTATGTTTTAGTTTATTAAGAGCCATTCTCTGTAACGACTTGAACTTTTATATAGGAGCTGTGGCATGCATAGTCTCAGAATTTCTCCAAACTCTCTATGATAAAAGTCTTTGATACCATAAACTCAAATCAGGCAGAAATTGGTTGGTATGTGTCATGGTTACCATGACAACATGTCCTAAAGTTTGAAAAATGGCATTTTTCAACAAGTTCAGAGTCCCACAGTTAACGTTTGCAGCAAAGCAAACAAGTGGCAATGATTGTTTCTGAAAGTTGTAGGCCTGATGTCTTAAATGCATGATAAACATGTTTGGTAAATCAACTATTACATACGTTACTATGGAAACAAAGTATTCAAAAGTAATAATTTTGCTCATTTAATTTTATAAAATCAAACACTTAAGAATAAAAAAAAAAATATAGGCTGAAATGCAAGCAAATAATAGACAAAAGATCCTTGTAACATATACCAAGGAAGAAATATGATATTTCTTATAGGTTGGCAATGGTTGCCATGGTTTTAATACCAAGAAGGGATTTTAAATTTATTCTATTAGTGTTTAAATCTAATCCTATCTTTTTAAAAAGCATATTTTTATATAACTAATGATCAATTTTTAAAGACGTTCATGTGATCCTAATTTTCACATTTCAAAAAACTCAAATTCAATTCTTTAAATAGAGCGTTGCTATGGAAATAAGCCGAAAAAATATGCATAAAAATCTGAAAAATATTCTGTTTCCTTGGATACATACCCTTGTATGTAGATTCCCAAAACTTAATAATTATGAACAACTAACCTGACTTTCAATTTTGACTGCCACCTAATATCTAACTGGATGCAAAAAGCTGGCACATAGGGTTTAATATTGATATAAAATTAACAAAATCGAACATTTTCCCTTCTTGGTTACCATAGCAACAGTGTTGTATTTTTCAACAAACGTTATCAATATATGATATTCAACTTTAGTTCTACCAGATAAGTACTATTCAAGGTGAGTCAAATAATACGTTTCTTGAATAAAAGGTAAGTAAATTCCTAATGCAGCAAAAAAATATCACTTTAAACAACTGGTACATTGTTTCCATGGTTACACTGCAAAGTAACAATTAATCCAATTTTTTCTTATGTTGTCGGTGTTGCAAGGTCCTAAGGATGTATATGTGCCAGTCATGAAATTTATTGTTTTTCCTGAAGATAGTAGCATTTACCCAATCTTAGCAACACATTTTGCATGGTAACACTGTGTTACCATGGCAACCATGAAAGTTATTTTTAGAATAATATTGCCAATACCTAATTACTTAAAGTCAAATATTTTAATTGTTTTTTCTTAGGTTGTTGATTGAGTTTGATCATTTAACACCTATCATTAGTGAATATTGAGCATTTTACTGCATTTTTCAGCATCTAAAATGTATTCCAAATGTACCCATGGTTACCACTTACTTAGAGATAAATTCTAAATAGTTTCTTTATAGCATTAGTGGCAGCAAGGTGTCAGGTTTTTGTGAGAATTGTTTGTTTGTTATTCTTAGTCTTTATTAAGGCTTAATAAAGATTCAAAGTAGCTGAAAATCTCAATTTTTCCAACTTTTCTGGCCGTTACCATGGCAACCAAGACACATAGCAACGAAATTTTATTTGATATATGTTTCTGGTGTCAAGTTGTAATAATGTGCAAAGTTTCATCAAAATCGGTGACCATGCGTGGCAAAGAAGTTTAAGTGGTTACAGAGAATCGCTATTAATTATATATTATATATCAGCAGTTAATACAAATCTGTGAGGATACCCATTTAAAGATCATGAAGAATGTGCTTTTTCTTCAAAATTTTGTCAAATGTGTGAACTTTCTCAAAGGATAAGTGTAACTGACAGCATACCATTCCTGCCAGTCTGAGTACTCCTTTTGGGGGCATAACAATAACCAACAAGATTTCCCCAGTCACCACAAATTATAATGATTTTATAAATACATGTATTTGTAATTTCAGAGCACCAACAGTAACAGGTACATCTGTTCTCGGACTGTGTTTTGATGGCGGTGTTATAATTGCAGCTGATATGCTGGGGTCTTATGGTTCCCTGGCTCGCTATAGGAATCTCTCTCGTGTAATGAAAGTCAATGATACCACAGCCCTGGGTATAAGCGGGGATTATGCTGATTATCAGTTCATGAAATCCATTATTGAACAAAGAGTGTAAGTGTAGGAGCATCTTAAAGTTATAGTCTTGTTATTAAGTAAAAAAAAAAATTGTTTTGATTTTTTCAGAAGAGCAATGAGATGTGAATTAAATAATGTAGATAGAAGTGAGAAGGAAAAGATTTACAGTATTGAAATTTACAGATGTATATTCAATGTGTAGATAAATCATTTGTATGATGAATGAATTCACAGGCATGAATTTATTTCTCTAAAAAAAAAAATGCAAGAGTCAAGTTGAATATGACAAGATTAAATTAAATAAATATTCATTGCCAGAATTTCTGTTTTCTCTGGTCCAAATTTGAATATTTCAGTAAGTGTAAAAAAAATCAGAGTTTAAACTTTTGGAAATGCTGTTAATTATCTGCATATAAACCTTGTTTGATGTCTTTAACAAAGATATTAAAACATGACATTTTCTGTTTTTAGTATAGATGAGGAGTGCTTAAATGACGGATTCCAATACACACCTAAAAGTCTGTTTTCCTGGATGACCAGAGTCCTGTACAATAGGAGGTCTAACTTTAACCCACTGTGGAACACATTTGTTGTGGGTGGATTACAAGATGGAGAACCGTAAGTTTGTGTGGAAAGGAGGAGGAAAGGGTGGGAGGGGGGTGGAGTGCAAGATCGAGAACTATTAATGGATGTGGACAGGAGGTGGCACTGGTGGTAGTGAGGGGGAGATGCTGTGCAAGAAGCTGGCATAGTTTATTTGTATTGATAATGACATTCTTGGAGTTTCATTTTAGAGGAAACTCCTTAATATTAGATCATAGATGAAAAAAAAATATGACTGTAATTCAAAATGATTAATAGGAATATTTTTTTTAAATAAGATAGCGTATAGAATTAATTGTTTACCATGAATGATTCTCATAACTATTGTTTCAAATAAATGCATGTAGTTTTTCTGTAAATGTGTTTGCTAAAATATGCAGCTTTATCCTATGATTTCAGTAACTTCCTATCAGAGTCACTGTATTTCCTAAGGAATTATGTACAGCAGGCAGTGTAACTGCAGTAAAATCTTGCATTGTTCTCTCTTTTTTCATTCAGGTTCCTAGGTTATATAGACAAGATTGGAATAGCCTTCAATGATCCAACAATTGCCTGTGGATTTGGAGCATACCTTGCTGTGGTAAGAAGTCACTCCTCAACGTTAAAGAAATTTTCATCATTCCTGTGATATCACTTCACAAAGATGTAGATGTATCTTTATATTTCCCTCTTAAAAATTCAATAATGGCCATGTCAATTTTTCATGCAAACAAATCAAACACTTTCAGGTTGTTTGATGTTGAAAAATTTTTAGCATCTTAGTCTGTTTTCCCTCTTTCCATTGTACTCTTGGATAAAGATTCTTGAATTTTGCACACAGCAGTTTTTCTTTTAAAACTTGTCTAGCAAAATATGTATGTAAACATTAAACATAATACAAGCTCAGAATGCAGATTTATGAAAGATGGCATGAAATTTTGATCATAACATAACAATTATGGCTAATATTTATAAAAGATCATAATGATACACAAGTAAATCTTATTGCTGAAGGGGAATAACTCGTATTTAGACTTTAAAAATTGTAACAGATATTAAACTGATGTAAGATTATATTGTAATTGAAGTAAAAAATATCAGCTTTATAGAGAAATTTTATGGGACTGTTTATGCAAGAGAAAAAAAATTTAGACTGTGATCTCCAGAAATTTTCAGATCAAAAAACCTAGATTGTCACTATTTTAGATTGATGATTTTCAGTTGCATCAGATCTATGTTGAATACTATGGATTCCAATAATAAATTAAAAGTTTTAAGATTCAGTTATTTGAAAACCTTCAAATATCTTGAATTCTGTCTGATGTCAGTCTTGTTTAGTTCAAAATAACAAAAAATCTTACTATACATGTTTTGTATATTGATCTACAGTATATCAGACATTG